ATGACCACGTACTTGGATGTCCAGCTGCTTCTCGCCGCTGTTCGGCTGCTTGTGGCCGAAGCTGTCGTCCAGCCTGCTGCGCGCAGCCGCTCTGCTGCTCGTTGCCCAGCCGCATGCGCCCACTCTTCTGCCGCTCGTGTCCGGCTGTAGATCGCCGCTCTGCCGCTTGACGCCGCAGCCGCTGCCCAGCTGGTTGTGGCCGCGCCGCTGCTCGCTGTCCAGCGGCTCGCAGCCGCTCTGCTGCTTGTGGCCCTTGCCCGGCCAGTCGTCGAGCCGCCCCGCCAGCTCCTGCTCGCAGCAGTCGGTGTTGGGCGGCGCGCAGCCGCAGTTGATGGGCCAGTTTTCCACCGCCACTGCCATAGGTCGAGCGGGGGAGAAGGTAGGCTGGGGAGGTGCTCCTCCTCCTCCTGCTCCTCCTCCTCCTCCTCCTCCTCCTCCTCCTCCTCCTCCTCCTCCCTCTCCTACCTGTGGTAGTGGTGGTGGAACATCTGCCCATCAGCAGTATAAGGTGCTCCCCTTGCCTCCCAGAAGCGGGCACGGCAGCTTGGAGGCGAGGCCCGCGCTGCGCTCGCCGTCATGCCCTGTCGGGGGCGCCAGCCCGAGGCAGGCACGGGCCTTGGTCGCGATGGCGAGCGCCACCAGCGCGAGGCGTCGCACCTCGGTCCTCCTCCTCCTCCTCCTTCTCCTCCTCCTCCTCCTCCTCCTCCACCTCCTCCCACCCCTCGAGCTCAGCGTGCAGGCGCCACGGCATAAGCTCGCGGCTCCACGCTGCGCTGCGCGCCGGTCTGCTGCGCGACGCTTCGGTCAGCCATGATCGGTCCATGCCCATGAGACTGACGAGAAGTTCTCCGAATAATGTGCGAAATGGCTTGAGCCAAACTGGCTATGGACGCCCTCCTCGTCCTCCTCCTCCTCCTCCTTGTTCTCCTCCTCCTCCTCCTTCTCCTCCTCAGTTCCTCCTCGAGGTCCTCTCCCTCCTTGTCCCCAGGGTTCTGGACAACTTCGTGGGGCGCCCCAGCGCGCGGGGGACCTCCGGGCGCCCGTCCGCCCGCCGGGGGGGGGAGGTGTTTCCCAGTGCCACCGCCGTCGCCGTGGAGCCCGGGGAGGCGGCGGCGGAGCTGACAGAGGACCGGGGAGGGAGGAGGAGGGAGTCTCGGCGGCGCGCAGAGGGGGGCAGGGGGAGAGAGGAAGGGTTTCTTAGAGGCATCCCTGCTTCTAAGAAGCCTTCCCCCTCCCCCTGCCCCCCTCTGCGCGCCGCCAAGAGTCTGAGGAGGAAAAGGTACCCATACCGCTCCTGCCCCCTGCTCCCCCTCATCCCCTCCTCTTCCTTGTCCTCCTCCTCTTCCTCCTCCTTCCCCCACCCTCCCCCTCCTCCCCCCTCCTCCTCCTCCTCCTCCTCCTCCTCCTCCTCCTCCTCCCCCTCCTCCTCCTCCTCCTCTCCTACCCCTGGCCTTGCTTACGCCTTTTTGGGCCTCCTGGGATGCCCTCGTCGCCACGGCCAGATGCGCCTCGGAATGCTGGTCAGGGTGCGTCCTGGGAGAGGCATCGTCAGGAGGCAAAGAGATTCCCAGGAAAATATGGGAAAATATGGGAAGTGGGGGGGGAAGACAAACAGCCAGAAAATATGGGAAAATATGGGGAATCCTTTTATTTGTGTGTATTTCTTTGTGTGTGTCCTTGGGCCCCTTGATATTGGTTTTGTCGTCACCCCCCAAGGGATGGGGACCAGTATGGAGGAGGGACCTTTTTTTGAGTCGCGGGGTGCAACTACGAGAAAGCAGACGAGTCAGCCAGCAAGTGGCCCTTGGTATCAACCCAACGCGTTGCCGATGTCGAGTCGGCTCCACCGAATCCTGCCTCGAGGGAGGAGAGGAGGAGAGGTGGAAATTAATGGAAGACGGGGGGAGGAAGGGGAGGAAACCAACACTTGGCATTGGGGTGTGCTGTAGTCCAGGGCATTGCCAGGGTATCTAGAGAAATGTTGCCACGCTGGGTACGGAGTTAATTCAGTTTCCAGGATTATTGATGCTTACATTGGCCTTCAGAACCAGCTCGTTTGCCAGCATTCACTCGTCTGTGTTCCCTTCACCCCGATGTCTTCAAGACCCACTGCCCAAAGTCAAAAAAAGCCTCTTATCCGCCAGCGTGAAGGTTTGGGCTTTCTTACGTCTGCAGGGGCCGATGGCAGGATAAGCTAGGAGATGCCAACCAGCGTTCGCCACTGACGGTGGATGCTAACCGCTTCAACCATCTCAGAGCGAGGAGGATGTGAGAAGGACGAATCATGTTTACGTGCTCGCAAGTGGCAGCTTTGGATGCCCTCGCGCCAGGCGAGCAGCCGCCTTTACGATACGACGGCCGACTCAGCAGTGTATTGAAAGGCGGCTCGCGTTGCTGATCTCGGGCTTCGGAGTTGTCTACCCGAACCGTCCCTGTGCACAGGAATGTCGTGGATTTCTGGAGGAATCCTACAGCAATTGAATACAGTCTCACATGTCCTGCGACGCCCTAAGGATTTCGGAAAGAATCCCAAGAGTGGATCTCAGCTGGACTCTAGGTCGCCTCCTGGGAGGCGCCGGGCATCGGTTCAGGAATCGCCCCGCACTGGCCCACACGATCTGCGGAGGAATATGCGGAGGAAAATCAGGAGATGGAGGTAGTCAGGCTTGAGTCCAGCTCGATGAGCTGCGTACGGCCAGTGCAGGTTTGGCTTTCTCCCTGCCCATAAAAACCACCATGATCCGCCCCCCGATCCTCTATCCAGGCAGCTGCCTGCCTGGTACCTTGCACACCGAGGGATGATGAGACGAACGAGCGGGGAGATGTACGAATGAGGAACGACTGAGGGGGCTGCTTGCCAGGACTCCCAGGCCCCATGGGCTGCACTGGCAGTGCTCGCCGACGGCCCTCACGCCTCGCCGCAGCCTTGAGCTACCCGCTAGGGTTCATTACCTCGGCCTGCTTCGACTCGATCTCCTGGGATAGTTCCATAGTCCTGGCGATGCCCATCACCGCCATGACGTTACTTTGCGTCGTTGCCGATGGGGCTCTGGAACAAGATCGTGCTGTTCGGCCAAACCTAGAACCATAACAACTACATAAACATGAACGTTCGGAGGTGCGCCCGGATTTTTTGGAGCTGCGCTGGGCCCTCTTGGCGGCGCCTCCAGCGCCGCCACTAGCGCGCTCCGCGCGCCATGGGGGGGGGGGGGGGTCCAGCGCCGATCCAAGACATCCGCACGGAATTCCGACAGTTTCTGTTCTTATTCTAAGACCGCCCATGATGCGATTCCGTCGAACGCGAGTTCGGCGGCCGCTCGCGCTGGCCCGTGCAGCTCCTCCACACTGCCGCCCTCAGGAGGGAACAAAACACACACAGAGAGACACATTCAATCGTTGACTCCCAGGAAAATATGGAGAATATGGGAAGTGGGGGGGGAAGGCGAACCTCCAGAACATTGGAACACTGTGGGGAATCCTGGCATCTGTGTGCATTTTTCTTGGGGTGTCCATGGGCCCCTGGACGCCCCGCCTTAGGGGGCCACATGCGAACCATACTTGACGCCCCGCCTGCCGCCTCTCGGCCACGGCCTCCTGCGCCACGCGCCGGCTCTGCGGTGCGTTCGAGATGCGTGGATGGGGCGGCACGCTCGAGATTCGGGGGCGTTTTTTCGTAAACCCTCGGCGAATCTCGAACGTGCCGCCCCGCCTGCCGCACCTCGGCCACGGCCTCCCTCACTGGCTCCTGCACCGCCATCTCTCGGTGCCTCTGCGGCCTCGGCCTCTGCGGCCTTTTTGCCGCACCGGCCAGGCGCCCGCCGCGCTCGGCCGCTGCGCTCGGCCGCCGAGCTGCTCCCGCGGCCGCTCGACGGCGGGATCGCCGTCGAGCGGCAGGTGGTGGTCGTGGCATCGCTCGGACATGTGTATTTTTTTCTCGGCGAGGACCCTTGAGGACCATCCTGGACCATCGAGCAAAAAAAACACGCACGAAACTAAAAAATGCCCAGGCAATGGACGTCCGAGCGATGGCAAGCTGCCGCTCGACGGCGTGATCGCTGTCGAGCGGCAGGTGGTGGTGGGTTCCACTGGCTGCTCCCGATAGTCAAGCAGTGGCAACGCGTCCCGGCGTGCCTAGAGGCCCACCAAACAGTGTCCTAAGAAGAACCTTCGGTGGTTCCCACGAACCGTTCTTAGAACGTTTCTGGCTGGGACTGTCTTGCTTTAGCACATCGGGTTTATGCTCTAGAGAACACTGTTTTTCTTCTTAGAACATTTTTCGGTTCTAGGAACATGTCGTGGTAGGCCTACAGGAATGCCGGGACGGTCGGTCCCTGCTCAGGACGGCTCTGCTGCCGCACGTGCGGCTGCGAACTGCCTCAGCCGGCCTCGAAGCACCGGACATGGGAGGTTTGGCTGTCCTCGGAGCTCTGCTCTGCCCGTGGCTGAGCGTTCTGCTGCTGCTCCTCTCCGGCAAGACGACGAGGATGACAAGCAGGTGCGGCCAAGCTGAGGGCGCCAAGCTGAGGCGGCAAAATCCTTGGCGGCCAGGCTGAGGATGCCCACTCGGATTTCCACTACACTGCTTTTGGGGCCGTCCGGCCTGTCGTGCACCGAGAAACGCACGCGATGATTTGGATCTTTGCTGCCGGCTTCCGTTGTCTCGCCCCCCTGTTGCTCCCCATCACTCGACGTGATGCCCAAGAACGGGGGCCCCGGCTGCCCCCCTAAGAAGGCGCGCGTGACGCGCTCGAGGAACTCGTCGGCACCTGGACCTTTGATGTGCCTCGCCACGCTGAAGCCACTTGCGATTTTGAGATTTTCTTGAAGAACACGTTGCCGATGTGGCAGTCCCTTAGGTGCTACATGGCGGCCTGCTGGAGTCGGAGGGCTTGTGGAGGAGCTGATCGCGAAGGTGGCTAATCAGCACACGCGGCTCCACTGCGCACGGAGCTGGAGGAAGACTGAAGCGGAGCCAAGTGCCCAGACAAGGCCAAGCTGCT